TTTTCACTTCAAGAACAGCTGAGAACACCTGAGAGAAATGTTATTTGTTGAAACGTGTTCTGTCCATTAACACCTACTTTAGAAAGAGTGATATGAAAGTTATCATATCTTTTCTCTCCAACAGTTTTGTGAACTTATTTATCCAGCTGATAGTAAGATTTTTATGTATTTGTTTGTTTGTTTGTTTGTTTGATGGTGACATTGGTTAACAAAATCCAATAAGTTCCTATAGTAAGATTTTAAAATATATACATATATAGTTAGACAGCTTCAGGTCTTCTGTTTTGCATGTATTTCCAAGTAAGTTTGACCACTCCCCCTCTCCTTAGGTTTCCAGTAGGTTCCCAGAATTTTCCTAGGCTTGTGATTCTAGTATGCAATAGTTGACTTTATTCATTCTGTATTTTATGTTTATAATTAGGTAGTTTTTGTCCTGGCACTATACCCCTCTTTCTCTTGCACATGATATGTGTGTGTGTGTGTGTGTGTGTGTGTATGTGTGTGTGTAATGGAAGAAAGCCATTCTGAATGAGATTTATCAACCAGGATTCTTAATCTAAGATATGTCCCATAGATTTTGGAGAGTCTAGGATCCTTCTGAAACTATGCAGAATTTTCTCACACATGCGCGCGCGCGCACACACACACACACATACACACACACAGTATGCTCCTCAACTTATGATGAGGTTACATCCTGGTACACTCATCGTAAGTTGAAAATACCGTAAGTCAAAAATGCATTTACTATACCTAACCTACCGAACATCAGAGCTCAGCTTAGCTTACTTTAAATGTCCTCAGAACACTTACATTAGCCTACAGTTGGGCAACTCTCTTGAGTTTCATCTCAAGTGTAATTGCTTTCTTTTCCTACAAAGCAGGAGATGCAGAAGGGCATTTTGTAGACATGATGGGATGCAAAAACACAAAACACGATATCCAAAAATGCTGGCAACACAGTACACTGTAGAATATTGGTTGTTCTCCCTCGTGATGGCATGGCTGACTGGAAGCTCCACCCTCCCAGGCAACCTCTCCTATGAGTTTGATGTGTGTCCTTGTATACCATTTTTTATGTTTTTACATACATACTATCAAAAATGTGTGGCATCAGTGTATTTTGATACAGTGTTTTAGGCTGTATGCATAATTAGCACCTAGTTTTTTCTGTTTTAACTCAACTATCTATTTATGAGAACTGCCTATTTTGATACATGAAGATTAAATTCATTCCTCTTAATTGCTATATAGAACCACATTTTATTTAGCCAGTTCCCTATTAATAAGCAGAAAAGGCCTGGGTATTCTCTCTCTCTGAACCTATTGAAGGACAGAGCTGAGGAGACCACATCCCACTCTGCTGCTGAGGTCAGGGGAAAGAAATCTTCTCAAAGGACGGAGTGGGTACAGTTCCCAAAGAGGAAAGCAGGTCCAGTCCCTGTCACCTGTTGAAAGAGACCATGGCAGCTTCTTTCAGGCTCAGCGATCACCCACATATACAAATGCTCCACAAAAATTTATTGAGTACTACCAGTGCCAGACACCATGCTAAACCCTGAAGATCTGGCACGCACATGTAAATAATAATGCACCAAAGACTGTAGATACACCGAACTATGATTTCCCGTTACCCTATCAGGGCATGCTTCGTTAAATTTCTGCCTCATGGTTACAATTAACAGTGATTTGGGGTATTTGAAAAGCTTCAAAATAACCCAAGAATCATCAAGCAGCCATGGGCTTGATTTATTCTCACATAAAGCTAATTTGCATGAATGAATACATGTGAGTTTCCAGTTTCGTTTTGTTTTTTAATAATTTACAAAATGAGAATGGGTGATCTCTAAAATCACTTTCAGCTCTAATGTTCTAGATAGAACACAGGATACCTGCAATAGGGCTCGATCACCACTAGATGTCGCTATTGGCAACACAAAAGTGAATAAAAGCAAGGGCTTTACATTACATAATTGCTTGAAAGAACACTACCAAATTCAAGAATAAAAATGTGAAAGCACTTTTGCAGACAAGCTCTATAAGAATCTAGAGGGGTAGCTGTGGGGGCCTGTGTGCACATTAAAGTAGCCTAGTGCTATGGGCACAATATAGTTAACTATTTCCTATACTCTTCTAGAACAACCTTCAGCCGTGGACTGGTGAGCAAGAAGACAGAATTGGAGGGTCTCAGACTTTGGAAGGGAGCTTATTTGTTCATTAGTTTTCAAATCTCTGATTATTCCCTGGAGTTAGAAATACACTTCCATCACAACCTAGCACACACACATATCCATAGATATGGATACATGTATGTAATGTAGTTGAAACCAAAGATTCACAAAACAATAATACCCTCATTACGTGCAATCCACTTTTCTTCTATGTATTTGTGAAACAATAGAAAAATATATATGTTGGTCTCTGCACCCCCACCACCACTGTTCCTGGCACAAAGCTTCTAAAATCCTTGTAATTTCCTAGGTGATAAGAGCAGGAGAAGTATCTTTTGTTTTACTCTTTACTCTTTGACCCGTTTCTGACACAGATCTCCTAAATCCCTTGGAATTTCCTGGGTGAAAGGAGTGTCTTTTGTTCTAATTATCAGGCTCTTGGTAGGCTCCTCAATAGCTTCAGAATGGGGGCTAGTCACCAGAAAGACCAAGCCCTGATTAGAAACATGGTATTTTCAGCCCCATATGCCATCTTCCTGGAAGGAGAGAAAGAACAGAAGTGGAGTAAATGATCAATCATGCCTATGTGAGGAAGCCTCCGTAAAAATCCCTAAAGCACAGGATTCAGAGAGCTACCAAGTTAGTGAACACATCTATGTGTTGGGAGGGTGATGAAACCCAACTCCATGGGGACAGAAGCTCCTGCACTTGGGACCCTTCTGGACCTCGCTCTATGTATCTACCTGGCTATTTATAATATCCTTTATTATATAATAAACTGGTAAACATAAGTGTTTCCCTGAGTACTGTGAGCCATTCTAGCAAATTACTAAATCCATGGAGAGGGTCATGGGAACCCTGATTTATAGCTGGTCGGTTAAAAATACAGTTGCTAACCTCAGACTTGTGATTGGTGTCTTAAGTGGAGGCAGTCTAACTATCCAGGTAAATAATGTCAGAACTGACAGAACTGAATTATATAGTAAGACACCCAGCTAGCTGGTGTTACAGAATTGTTAGTGTACAAAACCCACACATCTGGTGTCGGAAGTGCTGTGAGTGTGGTAGTATTATGAAATATAGAAGAAACACAGGGAGGGTTTTTCCCAGACATATTCTATTTCATAAAAAAAAAAAAATACTGGACTGGTTATCAACCAATAAATTGATTTTACCTGATATAATATACTTCCTTCCACTTAATACATTAAGAAACAGAGGCTCAGAGAAGTACAGGGACTTACCCCAGATAAAACAGCAAGCCAAGACTCAGGCTTTTTAGGACACTGGCAGGTTTTGTTTCGGAAGGCTCTAGGCAAAAATCAAAAAGTGTCCTTGGCATACTCCCAGCCCTTTCTGCACTTCTGAACCTTCTACAACCTATGGGCTAGTATCTGCTGGTGGGGGGTGGGGGGTGGGGGGAACCTGACAAAAAGTGTGTGTGATTAGTTATATGCAGCAGTCACTTAAAGATTTCAAGTTCTTTCTAAAATGCAAATGTGATCACTTTAACTCCTTTACTTGAATGCCCTCAGTGGCTCCTCGTGGTTTTCAGGCCAAACACAAATTTTCAGTGTGACAATCAAGGCTCCTCCAGACCTGGCCCCAGTTCTACTAGCCAGCTTCACTCTTCACTACTTCCCCATGTGCACCTTCGAGGCCTTTCCTCCATTCTCGACTTAGCTAAATAAAGTTTTTCATGACTCTACTCACATTTCTCTTCTGAAAACATTTCCTTTTGCTTGTCATAGCACAATCTTCCTTTTGTGTGTCTTCTTCACTGGGCTGTGGCATTTTTATGAGCTAGGTTCCCATCTTTTTGTTTGCTATCCCAGCACCCAGCCTAGGGTGCAGTACATAAGAGGAACTCACTAAGTATCTGCTGAAATGAATATTTACATATTCTTACTCTCAAATATTTATCAAAAAAAAAAACACCCCAGCTCATTGGAATATTGGCTCTCTGAATTATGCAAAGAGCTAGTTTTGACAATGCAGATCTCTATTTCCTAATATCTTGAATGTATTAATAAAAACTATACCAATCTTGGGAGAAGTGGATGCCATAACCCAGTTTTGATTTTTTTTCTCTTTATTTTAATACATTTTTGTTGAAGGAGTGGTTAGTCTTGTATTTTTAACCTTCAGCTTGTAGGCTAGTACCTGACGATCAATATACAGCCTCTGGCCTTTCAAAGAACTGGTCCACCCACTTGAATCCCCAGAGCGAGCCTTCTCTGGGTCACTTGTGAGGGGCAAATAGCAACTCTTATTTACATGCCACCTTGGAACATACCAAAAAAAAGGGGGGCGGGGGATCATCACCTTAAGTTACTTATTACCCAGAAGGAAGGAAAGAAATCAGAGTGAAAGGGAGAAAATTAAAGGCTAATAAGACTGAGTCCGGTGCGTAACGGAGGGAGAGGTCAACCAGCGGGAACTGTGGTGTCAGTGATGACTCTGCGAAAGAGTAAATCACATAAACTAGGTTGAAAATTGGTAGAGGAACAGGGAAGAAAGTGTTTCCAGGTGGGAACCAGCATGAGCATAGGTCAGATAAGGATGTGGACAGAGAAGACTTGCCCGACCAGAAATGAGGTGGGAAGGATTAGGTGTGCTGGCGCCCAGACAGGAGCAGGGGCCAATGACCCATCATCCCCCTTACTCCACGCATCGCCGTGCTGGTTAACGAAGCACATCCAGATCTACTTACCATTTTGATCTCTAGACATTTGTTAGGTGAGTGGGATAGATATTGTAGGCTTTTTAAAAATAGAAATGGCAAAGACTTAAGGAGATTTAAAAAATTAGCCCAAGTCAAGCAGCATCTAACCAGACTCACGATTTATTTCTCAAGTTTGCAGACCTAAGCATTGCACTGGGCCTCCCTCACAAGTCACATAGCTAAATTTCCTCATTTTGCAAACAAGAAAACTGAAGACCAAACAAGGTGAAGCAATTTTTCCAAGGTCACATAAAAATCAGAGTTTAGGAGATTGGCTGGTAGCAGCTTTAATCAGCCTTATTTCTGACTGAAAGGGCTTTTTCTTGTATTAGCTAGAGAGGAAACCCAGAGGAAAAATCCTCATATTCCAGAGGAAAAACTGTTACTTTGACAAAACAAAAATTTTTTTCTAATGTTTTCTGTTAGGATAACAGTCTGTTATATAACTGTACTTTCAAAAATGAAAATTTTTATCAACCAAAAATTACAAGCTTTTTAAGTGAACAACATTCTGAAAAGAAACAGAGCTGCCTGAAGAGAGGGATCTATCTGGGGAGGGAGGTCTCCACCACCTACGTGAGCGCTTCAGAAATTTTTCTGCCACTGATGAATTTTCAGGTCATCAATCAGAGAAAAATAATAATATTTTTAACTTTAAACAAAACTAAACACTGGCCCCAAACTGATAAACTACTATCATCTCAGAATCTGTTAGCAAAAGATAACTAATATTTCTAGACAAGCACATAATCCAGATGACACATTATTTTATATATATAATTTTTTTAAAACCCCAGAAATGACATGGCTTGAGAAATGACTTGCTGAGAAATCTGTATTTACATTAGGAAGAGTAGGGGGAAAAAATCCCTTGCAGAACTTGGAAAGATGTTAAGTGGTAAATACCAAAATGCCCACCAAGCATGTAAGCAGCCTCTCATCCCAGCATGAATATGTGCAACTCAGCATTTTAAAATTTACTTTTAGCTTTTCCAGCAGTTTGAATTAACCCTTCTCTACTTATGCTCCCTCTGTGAAAGTTCAGCCCTTAACCTACAGCGAATCCTCTTTGATTCACCAGCAGACAATTCCCTCACCCTAACGGCTTACTCCAGAACAAATGCCTCCTGGACATCCTTTTACTGTCCATAAGTCTCCGGCCAATGCCCAGACAAATGTTAGGAGTCAGTCCAGCTTGCCAGAGCTATACACAAATTGGAAAAGGCTTGTTGGGAGATCAAAACAATACAAATAAATGCCACACTAAAGGCACTTCCAGACCAGAGGTTCCCCAGGAGTATGTGCATCGGAATCACCCCAGAGAAGCTGTTTCAGAAGGCAGGGCTCAGCATTTGTACTTGTAAAAGATCCTCAGGTGATTTTAAAGTGCATCCCTTACCGACAGGCACTAATCAAGATGCTCTAAAGAGCCAGTTACATTTTTCTCTTAGTTTCAGCCCCTAGCAAGTTAAAATGAAAATCAAAACAAGCAATCCTAAAACCAAAAATGTTTCCAGATTAGGTTCATCTTACTAACTTATTGGTTGGTAAACTTATTGACAGACTGGGTGAACAACAATCAAGTATCAGAAAGGTGAGAATTTAATGAATATTTGTATAATACTTTACAATATTTTCTCATGTATTAATGATCTCACATGGTTCTCATAGCAGCCCCATTGAGGTAGCTTGTTATTCTCACGTTAAAGATAAAGAAGACAAGTCTCAGAAACATGAAAGAATGACCTGGAAATGCCCTAGTGATGTCAGCATTTCTATTCTTGAGTTACATTTATATTTTGCTATTTACATTGATTTGTGTCTTTGAGGTGTTTCTTTGAAACATACGGTATATCAGTTGCTGCAGACATTTGCTTCTGAGGGGAAAAAAATCCATGTCAAAATCTTGGTGAGCTGAAAACTCACGAACCTGGTCCTGTTAAAGCCAGGGTCAGCCATGTAAACTTTCAGAGTTCTTCATGCTGCAATATCTAAGCTCTTTGACTCAATAGAAGAATCTGAAGAACAAGAACGAAACAAAAGCCAAGAGAATAAATGAAGGTTAACGGGAGCAGGAAAGACTTATTTCAAGAATATCAATTCTATAATAAACCATACTCTTCTGTAGTTGTGTGAGTGTTACTTATAGCAAAGTAAAATGCTTCCTACATGATTGGTGCTGGTTGCTGGGAAAACTAAAAAGACAAGTCAGCAGTCAGCCTATTAAACATGAAAGCAAACAATATATGGTGGGGCCAGCTGGGACAATGTATCTACGTGCAACAGAGACTCCAGGATCTTTGTAACAGCAAAACATTCAATCCATGCTTTCCTTTTTACCTTTTTGATCGACATTTCATTCATCCTGAGAGGCTGCTCTGGCATAGCTCAGGGGTAGATTCAGCCCAACAACTGGCCCTACAATGCTCAGCCAAGATGTGATGTAGTTGACATTCCTGGGAAACAAGTGAAAATACAGGCAATTCTACTGTTTCCATTGTAGTTTGGACAAATGGTAGAAAATCAGTTACCGACAATAAAAGAAACAAGGCTTTCCTCAGAGATGTGTGCCCACGGCTTGGAATCCCAGCATTTCCAAATGTCGGCGTTATCGCTTGACAAGGACTCATGCTCCAAAAAAACCGTGAGGATCCCTCACGGAGGTATTTGGAGGCAATGAGACTCCTGCATCCCCCAATAATTACAATTTTACACTCATAATTTACAGCATTTGCTAGGGTAGTAGAGTACAGTGATTAAGAGCATGGCTCTGAGGCAAAACGGCTGGTTTTTCAATTTTCAAATCCCAGTTCCACCCCCTTAACTAGCTGTGTGACCTTGGCCAAATCATTTAACCCCTCTGTGCTTTAGCTTCCTCCTTTGTAAACTGGATAAAAGAATAAAATTTAGCTCAGAGGCCATTATGAAAAAAAAAAACCCAATGCATTAATATATCTAAAATAGAACAGCACCTAGCACACAGTAAAAATCAATAAATGTTAGTCATTATTATTATTACAAAGAATATTTCTTTTTTAGCTCAGCTTTCAGAGTCACATAAAAAGATTTATACTTTTAAAATAAGAGTCAAAGCCAATGTATCTTGATGGTGTTTCTTACCTATTGATTTTCCGAGCATTCTTTAACACAGGAGCCATGAATTCATTCGTCTTGCAGGGATGAAGTACAAAAAAGGGTCGCCCAAGTATCGGATGCTCCTGTAGGAATCAGAGTTCATTCGGGATTATCCCTGTGAGTTACTTTGAAATAGTTAAAATGCATAATCTGGTTTACTCCTTTAAAATAAAGGTTTGTTTTAAATTGCAAGTTATTAAATTAGGATATAGATAGATTTCAATTATGAAATATAATTCATAATCTAAACATGAGAAGTTGCTAAGAAGGAGTTATGTATTGATAAAGTAGTACAGTCAATTATGGGAGGTCACATGGCTTTGCTTATACAATACAAACTGTAGACAAATTTTATCAGTTCCTTCTAACTCTGTCAGCTAGAGCTTCTCTCTGGTTTTTAATTATTCTTCAGTTTTTCCTCAAAGACATCTGTGAAGCCCAATAGCCTATCTGAACAATGTTATTTCATTCCTTTGTTAGTGGTAAGGGGACAAAAATCATCTGCACTTTTTTTACATAAATTTTGTCAACGTATTAATTGCTTCAGGCCTAACTGCATTCAGTGCCAATAGGCACATGGGTAGAATGAGGGTCTGGGAGAAGAACTGCTTACATTATTTAAGTTGTCTACTTCTGTCTGGCTCTCTTTCAGAGTTTCTCTGTTTATTTGTTTCTCTCCTTCTGTCTCTCCCAAGCTTATAGGGCTGTTTCTATAAGTTAAAAGCCCATATGGTGGAATTGCACTGCCTTTATAACAGAATGACTGGACATAAGATATAGGTCAGACTGCTGCCAGGTTAGGGATGTGGACATCATTTGGCAAGCAATGCGGAGCCCTCGAAGGTTACTTTGTAGTGAGCAACCTATGCACAAATTCTACCAACATGAAAACATTTACTGATGATAAATTTATTGAGCATTTACATTGTGTATTAACCATTATGCCACAGACTACAAATTCAAATACTGCTATGGTATGAATATTTGTGTCTTGCCAAATTCATATGTTGAAATCCTAATGTCCAGTGTGTTTGTATTAGGAGGTGGGGCTTTTGGGAGGTGATTAGGTCATGAGGGTGGAACACTAAGGACCTTATAAAAGAGGCTCCATATGGTATTTGTCTTTCTCTGTCTGACTTATTTCACTTAGCATAATACCCTCTAGGTCCATCCATATTGTCGCAGATGGCAATATTCCATTATTTTTTATGGTCAAGTAATATTCCATTATATGTCTATATAATGGAATCCAGATTATATATACATATAAAAAGCTTCTTTATCCATTCATCTATCGATGAACACCTAGGTTGCTTACATATCTTACCTATTGTAAATAATGCTGCAATGAACATAAAGGTGTGATTTCATGTATATGTGGAAAAAAAATAAAACAAAACAAAACAAAATAGGAATAGATTCATAGATAGAGAGAACAAACCAGTGGTTGCCAGAGGCAGGAAGGGAATGGATTAGGAAGGTAAAGAGGTACAAAATTTCGGTTATAAAATAAATAAGTCAAGGAAATGTAATGTACAGCACAGGGAAAATAGTCAATAATAGTGTAGTAACTTTGTACAGTGACAGATGGTTACTAGACTGACTGTGATGATCACATTGTAAGGTATATAAGTGTCAAATCACCATGCTGTACACCTGAAACTAATATAATATTGTATGTCAACTATTATAAATAATAAATTTTTAAAAAGAGGCTCCAGAGAGTAAGCCTGCCCCATCCCACCATGCGAGGACACAGTGAGAAGAAGCCTGTGCCCCAGAAAAGAGCTGTCACGAGAAAGGGCTGGTACCCTGATCTGGAGACTTCCAGCCTCCGGAACTGTGAGAAATAAATTTCTGTTGTTTATAAAGTACCCAACCGATGGTATTTTGTTATAGCAGCTGAAAGAGATTAAAACAAATACCTACAAAGACCGTGCAGGTGGCCTCGAGGAACAAAGCCAGTAAAATACACCAGCAGGTGACAGAGACTGTAGGGGAGGGAGAGTGTGCTCAGCTGAGGCTGTGCCTGCCATTCTGCTCCAGCTAATTGTGACATGTGAGGATGCAGGTTCAGTGTGCCAGGTCTTCCCATTTGTCAAAATAACCTAGAAATCCAGATTTTCCTGTAAAATCTCCTAAATTTAAATGTTGGCACTTTTTTTTTTTAACATAATGTGGGCCAAATACAATAAGCCCGTAGGCTGGATTTGGACTAGAGGCTGCCTAGCTGCTTCTCCTGGCTTCTTCTACTCTTCAGCCAGTACAGGAGAAGCTGAACTCAGAGCTATCCATGGGAAGAATTATGTGTGGTTGGCCCTGCTTCTTCCGCCCGCCAATCCCAAAACAGTCATGCCTGCATGCGTGTGCACACACCTACTCACAAGATATGGAAGGGATAGTTCCTCTTGTACTAGAGACATTGGGTATGGAGATTTGGGTGTTTTATGTGTGGTGAGGGTTGAGTTATTCACTGGGTGTGGGTTGGTGTATCTCTCCCAAGTGCTACTTCCACATGTCTCTGCCCAGTGGCCTGATTCTTACAGCAGAGCCTGAGCTCCCTCACTCCAGCTCTCTGCCCACCTCTCATTCTCATCCCTAACCAGACCCTGGCCGGGGTCACAGCCCAGATGTGTTATGCCTATAGTGAATCCTCCTGTCCAACTTGATTCTGGCTTCCCTTACCTGCCTTAAAGTAATATTTATTAATTCAACACACATCTGTTGGCCATCTTTTATGTCTCTTTCAGGAACAGTTTTAGATACAGTTATAAAGATGAAGTCCTTGATCCCATGGAACTTACATTCCAATGCAAGAGACAGCCAATAAACACATAAAACAAATAAGTAATCAAGATAATCTAGATAATAATGAGTGTTGTGAATGAAATAAAATAGGGTAACAAGATTCTGGAGGGACTGTAGTGATGTTTTGGTGAAAGGGAAGGCCTTATAGAAGTGATCTTTAAATAGAGATCAGAATGCTAAGGAAAAAATCTGTCATGCAGAGGTCTAATGCTGGTGTCAGAGGCAGAAAACGGTAAAGGAAAATGAGCATAGGAAATACAAAAGAATTTTAGGATTATCCTAAACTAAAATAATTACTATTTGGAGGGTTGGGATTTCAAAAGCCAAATTTAGTCTAAATTTTTTTGGATTACTTTAGTAGTAACCAATATAAGGAATGAAGAGCTATAACCAAATCTTAGTGAAGAGAAGACATGTCGCCTTCTTTAATAACATGAAACCTAGACCTCCAAGGATGGAATTAGATGGAAACACTCCTCATGGGGAACATCAGCTCAACTATTCAGCCTCCTCACCTCTCCAAG